CTTCCGGCACACGCCGGATCCGGAAGCGTCATCGGGGCGGGGCGGAACCTGGCCCGTGTAGTGAGGTGTGGGGTTTGCGCGGCCTCTCCGACCTCAGTATCTCTTCTGCGGAGCCTCTGTCTTACCACTGAGGAGCGGCCGCCCGGTATCCTTGCAGGCCCCGCATCGTGTGTGCCGTAACCGCGCTGGTTATCCAGCTTTCCCGCGCCTCCGAGGAGCCCCTGGCCTCAACGGGGCCCGGCGCGGGCTCCCGGGATGATCCCTGCCTGTACGGGGAAAGGCTGGGCGCCCGGGAGAAGGCTCGCGGCTCTACTTCTCGGGTGCTGGGCAGGCTTCTTGGAGAAGAAACCTTCGAGCTGATGACTGAGGGATGAGTAGGAGTTCCTGTGCCCGGGGAGTGACGCGGGAGGGGTCTGTGTCTCAGAATCTTGAACGCCGCCACACTTAGCACGAGGAGGTCGCCTTTACACAGAGGTGACCCTGTTAAAGGAGTGGGAGGCTTTAAAGACGTTTAGTGCGATCAGAGGGCTGACAAGGCGTTGAAGACATTGTGACTTGAGGGATTTTGCGGCCCCACGTGTGTAGCAGTCACCTTGACCAGGAAGTTGGGGCCCCAGGAGAGGGAGATGGCCCTGTGGCCACCGTCCTGGCAGGAGAGGCCTGGCTTGAGAGGCACATCTTGATAGAAACCAAATTCTCAGAATCTGAGATGCGGGAAAGCGGGTTAGGGAAGTCAAGGACGACTCTGAGGTGTCAGATTTGGTGCCTGGGCTGTTACCCCAGGGGTTCTGTTACTTATCTTAGGGTAAGTAAAATGGGTCTTTTTATATAATACTGTGAAAAGTGTTTTCATCTAATAGTACTCTTCTTAATAAAAGTTGGAATGTGATTCATTTTTACTGCTTCGAATACTTCTCATTGAACTGTGTCTAAAGATCAAAAAACTATTGCCAGACTATGATGCAACCTAATCTTCCGTGGTAACCAGGATACAGACTCCCATAGTGGGAAACTGGCGCTAAAGAAAAGTCTCCGTCTGTAATCCCAGCACTGCGGGAGCCGAGGCGGGCGGATCACCTGAGGTCAGAAGTTTAAGACCAGCCTGACCAAAATACTGAAACCCCGTCTCTACTAAAAATACAAAATTAACCGGGTGTGGTGGCGCAGGCCTGTAATCCCAGCTACTCGAGAGGCTGAGGCAGGAGAATCGCTTGAAACTGGGAGGTGGAGGTTGCAGGGAGCCGAGATCGCGCCATTGCACTCCAGCCTGAGCGACAAGAGCAAAACTCCGTCTCAAAAAAAAAAAAAAAAAACAGTCTCAGGGGTCCTGGAAACACGAAAAGCCCACCTGCAATACAGTTCCATATCTGGGAAAAAGTCTTTGTGATTCAGGCCTGCCACGAGACAGCAGAAATTCATATCCCCAGGACATATGGGTCAGAAGGAACTTGAACCCAAAAGTGCCCATTTTACCAGTAAAGAAGCAGCCCCCAAAGAAACTGGTAAATGGAATAATGTCCCTGCTCATGGTCATGGACTTTCATTCCACCCAGGGAGACAGCATTTAAAAATTCGTATTATACTATGTCAGGGTTCACAGTGTTGAGGGGG